AGCTAACCTAACCCCTGACCCCATCAGTTCATGTCCTCTAATCCAACTTTCCTAAAAAGGAGGGCTGATGCACAGGCCCCACAACTTATTAGACTCCTTGGGACAAAGATTCCAAACAAAATGGTTCCAGACTTGTGGGGAGATGGGGAACTACACAAACGGAGCTGGTGGAAGCTACAGGTACAGAAAAGCTTCCTTGGTCCTCAGAAAAACGGCCACAGGTGGTGGAGACAAGGGTGGTCAGTGCCAGTTCTGTGAAAGAGACTGTGCAGCCCGAGGAAAGGGGGCGCTTAGGAGGAGGTGGCAGGGGCGCGAAAGGATGGAAAAACATCTCAAGGCTCCACATCTCACAGGCAAGCAAAGATTTGGTGGGTGTGTTAGGAAAAGGACGCTAACTCACACTTCCAGGAATGACAGATTCTTGGGAAATGCTCACCCGTTTGCAGAACTGGAGAAGAGGTGGGCGAGCTGGAGGTCTGCGGCGCCCACGGCCCCCCAGCCGGGTCCGCCTCCCAAGTCCGCAACGCTGGCTCCCTGCACGCACTGGGCACCAGCGTCTCGGTCCGCCGGCCCCTGCTGTCATCCGCAGCCTGCGCGCCTCGGGTCCCCACTGCCCCTCTGCACGCCAGGGCCTCGCCAGGAAGAGTAGTGACCCCGGGCCCCGGGCGGGCGATCCGGGGGAGCCCCTCTGACAGGCACGGAGCAGGGGGAGCCGAGGGAGAGACTGGGGACGACGGAGGGGGAGCGGGAGCGGCTCACCACAAAGTGATCCAACATCGCCCATCTCCGCGCCCGGGGAGCAGGCAGCCCGCAGCCACCGCCGCCCGCCTTCCCGCACGCAGTCCCGCAACTCCGGGGGCGCCGGGGGGCGCCCGACTCCCAGCCCCCACGTCTCTCGCAACGCGGTCGGCAGTGCCACAAAACATCAACCTCGGCAACTCGAGCCCCGACGACCGGGGGCAGTGCTGGCCCCGACATGCACGCCCAGCAACAGCCGGCGGTCCCCAAACTTGTCCGCGACGCCGCGTCCACGGCCCCCGCGCCCTGTCCCGCTTACCTGTCCGGAAAAAGGCGTCCACGTCCGAGTCGGCGGCTCCTCCTTCCTCCGCTGCCCCCTCCGGGGGGTTCATGACTGGGGAAGGACGTCTGCGGGCACCCGGCGGCCGACGAGGGCTGGGGCCGAGGGCGGCTCGCCGCCGGGTGGGCGGAGGGCACGGGGCCCGGCGGCCGAGGGCTCCGGGCGGGCGCCGGGCGGAGGGGCTCGGGCAGGGGACGCCGAGCCTCCCTCAGGCGGCGGCGCGCGGCGGGCGGGGGGCGCCTGCCTCCGGCCGCCCCATGGTCCCCCTCCCCGGGGCGCTGGCCGCCTGCTGTGTGGCCGGGGCCGGGGTCCGGGCTGCCCGCGCGCCCGCCGTGCCCCGGCAGCGGCAGCTGGCTCTGCGGCTCGCCCGGCCGCCCGTCTCTATTGTTCAGCCCTGCTCGGCTCTCCGCTTTATTTTTCCTCCTCCCTCCCACCCTCCTGCTCCTGCCTCCCTCCCTCCCTCCCTCGCTCCTCGCTCGCTCCCCGCTCGCTCCTCTCGCACACTCGCGGCCTCCTCCCGCTCGCCCGCGCGCTCCGCGCCGCTCTCTAGCGCCCCCTCCGGCGCCCGCCGCCGCCGCCTCCCCGGCTCCTCCCCCGGCGCCCGCTCCCTCAGGCGCGGCCAACAATGACCGCGGCGGCTCCGAGCTCCCCCGAAGCTGCCGCCCGGCCCGGGGCTCTCCTCAGGCGCCCGGCGGCGCGCCGCTCCCTTCCCGCGGCCCGCGCCGGCCCTCCGGGGACCGAGCCCGCGCCCGGAGCTATTGTTCGCGGCCGCGCTAGGCCGGCTTCCTGAGCTCCGCAGGAAAAGCCCCGGCCCGGAGGTGGCCGAACGGGGCGGGGCCGCCGGGCGCTCGCCGGGCTCGCGGGGGTTCTGCGGCCGCGCCGCGCGCTCGGCCTCCGCCCGGGCGCCGCCCGGCTCCTCGCGGCCCACGGCGGCCGGCTCCGCCCCCCGCCCGCCCGCCCGCCCCGCCTCCCAGGTGTGCGCGGGAACCCACGCGAGCCGCCGTCCGCTCCGAGCTTCGGGTCGCTCGGCAGGCCGACTGACCGTCCCTGCGGGCTGCGCTGCAGCCCCTCCTGCCCGGCCAGCCCCCTGGGCTCCCTGCCCTCCGAGCCCGTCGCCCTCTCCTCACCACCTCTCCCTATCTCTCCCGGTTTTAGCTCTTCTTTTCGGGGCCCCTTTCAACATTTTCTGCCCGGCCTGCAACTCTTTGTCCAGTGCTTTCCTCTTGTGATGTCTCCCCTGCCTGTCTCTCTATTCTTACTCTCTTGACTCTCGGGTTTGTCTCTGTCCTGCATTGGTTCTGAGCCCTATCTCAGCGCTCCTCTTGGACAACTGTCAAAACTCCCTAATCCCTGGGGCCTTCTCTGTTTTGTTCTTGTCCCTCCTGTGAATGGAGAGATCCAGTTGGCTGGGAAAAGGGGCAGCTACGGCAAGCTGAATTTCAATTAAACCGGGGAGGGGGGCTGGGGAGGACGGAGATGGGGGAAGCAGATGATGTATGGGGTAATTAATGCAGTGATTGTATTGTGGCAATCGGTTTTTAAGCAATAATTAAACAATAATTAGTGAGTAGGCCGATTATAGTTCTAGTGACTATAGAGCCGGCAAAACAGAGGGTCTTTAGACCTGAGAACTTAATGTGGTGTGTTGAGGACTATTTGCCTCCTGCAGACGCAGAGGTGGTGGTTTGACCTAATGTATTCAAAACATCCCATAGAAACGCCAAGTGCTAGTGTAAAGTTGATGGCCAACTTCCCATCAGCCAGGGTCTCCCGGATGTGTCTGTGTCTGGCAACCTGATTTGGTTTTACCTCTCTCCTAGGGCTAAAGCACCTGAGACTTTCCACATCCACCAACTGGGTAACTAGCAGTAGAAGAGATAGATCATGTAAGTTTTTAGTGAACAATTCCTGGCTTTCTGTACTCATCACATTCTTCACTGAGTATCACGAATGGTCTTTTTTTTTCAGCTATTAGGGAAAAAAAGGAAAAACCCTTGTTTCCAACCTTGAGTATATCTATCAGACCTATTTGCCACCTGTGACCCCACTAGTGATTCTGATTTAGTAATCACCCACCCTGTAATGATTCTGAGATCATAAGTTCACTGCCACAAAACCTAGGTTGTGGTATCAGTGTTTTATCACAGACAGATGCTCCCTACCTATTAGGTTTGACCTGTAGCACTGCAAAAGTCATATTTCCCTGGGGCTGGGGCTCAGCAGCGTTAAGTGCCTGCTTGACAAGCACAATGTCATGAGTTCAATCCTCAGTACCAAAAAAAAATTTTTTTCCTAATTTCAATAACAAAAAAATATTTTTGAAAAATTATCCAAACATTTGGAAACTAAACAATACATAACTAAGATATCAAAGAGGTTTATTAGAAAAAAATTTTAAATGAATACAAATTTTAAAAATCTGTGTAATACAGCTAAAGCAATATACAGGGGAAATTTATAGTGCTAAATAGCTATTCTGAAAAGAAAATTCTCAGATTAATGTCCTCTTCTACCTTAAAAGCAAACAAAACTAAAGCAGAATAAAAATAAAACGAGATACAGTGTAATGGAAGAGCTCTTACTTAGCAAGCATGATACCCTGGGTCAATCCCCACTACTGGATGAAAAAAAAAAAAGACCAAAAAAAACTCAGAATGGAAAGTGTCAGGCTGGGGATTTAGCTCAACAGCATAAGCACCTGCCTAGCAAGCATGAGGTCATGAGTTTGATCCCGTGAATACTATCCCAGGTACAAAAAAAAAAAAGGAAAGTGTCTATCTTACTTTTCTCATTGCTAAGACAAAACGCTGACACCCAAAGATAAAGGGGGAAAGATTTATTTAGCTCACATTTTGTAGAGGTTTCAATCCATGGTTGGCTAGCTTCAAGACAGAGTGGCACATTGTAAAGGGGCATCACAGAGGAGAAACAAACAGTTCAAGGCACCCAAAAGGTAGCAAAAGCAACAAGAAAAGAAGATGAGCCTCTTTCTGTCCTTTATACTGTATCCAGGCTACTGAGATTAGGGCAGTGCCAAACCAATCAGTGTACTGATTGAGTAATCACCCACCCTTAATCCTAGCTTCACACACTGTAGATTTAACCACCTTTTTAAAAGCCCCACCCATGACCTCATGAGACTTTGGCAATGTATCTAGACTCAAACCATAACAGAAGGCAGTGAAATGCTTAACAGAAAAGCAACAGAGAAAAATAAACCCAAAAGCAAGTTGAGAAGACCAGTAAAACTGGTAAACCTCTAGCCAGATAGATCAAAATGAGAAAGCTAATATTGCAGTTAGCTGTAATGAGAGAAATAACAGCACCACAAAGTAGGCTGATACAAAAAGAATAATAAGAGAATACTATAAACACTTTATAGCAGTAAATTTGGCAACTTGCATTAAATAGACAAATTTTTGAAAGACATGAATTACTAAAGTTCGCTTAGGAAGAAATAGATATAGTCACATGTCTATTAAATTTGGGCTGGGGATATGGTTTGATAATAGAATACTTGCCTTAGATGTACAAAGCCCTGGGTTCTATCCCCAGCACTACAAAAAAAAAAAAAAAAGAATGAGAAAAGAAGAGAGGCTAAGAGGAAAAGAAAGATAGATAAGGGAAAGAAAGGAAAAGAAAAAGAATTTTAGTTTAAAAGCATCTCACAAGCATACTCTCAAGAGAGGTTTTCCTGGAAAATTGTATGAAATATCTTAGGAATAAATTATACCATTTCCACAAAACTTCCAAAAACCAAAAAGAAAGAAATATTTTTCAGTTATTTTTATGAGACTGGTGTTACTCTAATGCCAAAACTAAGTAAAGATCATATAAGAAAAAAATTATAGACTTCTCTTTCTTATGAACTTAATACAAAACTCTCAATAAAATTTTAGCACATCAAATCCAATACTATGTAAAAAGATTAATTCTGTTACATCATAACCATATAAAGTTATCCCAACAATATAATATTGGCTTAACATTTGACAATCTCTGTAACTTATGGGTTGCATGATACCCCCCAGAAAGATTCATTGAAGTCTTAACCACTAGTGCCCAGGAATGTGACTTTATTTGTAAATAAGGTCTTTGCAGACATAATCAATTTGGGATAGTCATTAGGGAAGAGCTACTCTCATACAACTGTCTTTTTTTTCATCCAGTACTGGAGATTGACCCAAGGTATCATGCATACTAAGTAAGAGCTCTTCTCTATGAGAAGAAACACACTCCCATGGGAAGATAGAGACACTCAAGGAAAAAGCCTTGTGGTGACAGAGGCAGAGATTGGAGTGATGTGGCCACAAGCCAAAGAATGCCAAAACTGATGTCCAGCACTGGAGACTAGGAAAGGTAAAGAAGGATTCTACCCAGAATGTCAGAGGACATGTGGTGCTGCTGCCACTTTGATTTCAGATTTTTATCCTCCAAAACTATAGCAGGATTTTAACTTTAAATCAATTAGTTTGTATTATTTTGTTACAGCAACCCAGGAAACTAAGATACAATATTTGAAAAGAAAAAATCAGAATTATCTGAATGGCTGAAGGAAAAACATTTGGCAAAATCCAACATCCATTTCTGATCAAAACTCTCAGAAAACAAGGAAGTAAGGAGACTTCTCTTTAATCTACAAAAAAAACTTAACATCGTATCATATTTAATAGTGAAAAACTGATTGCTTTTCCCTAACATCAGAACACCTACTCAACATTACACTGTCAATTGTAGCTAGTGAACTAAAAAAAAAAAAGAAAGAAATTAAATGCATCAAATTGGAAATGAAGAGGTAAAACTGTCTTTATTCATAACTAACATTAATTGCTATCTAGGAAAGTTCCATAAAATCTAGCAATCCAGTAACAAGTTTAGCAAGATTTCAACATAAAAGATTAATGTAAAAAGAAGTAATATTTCTATACACCAGGAGATTTTGGGCTTGAAATTTTAAAATATGGCTAGCTCTGCATTATACCACTGGCCCCATACTTAAAATATTACACTACAGTAGAAAAATAAAAAAGATGGAAGATTAATCTGGCTTTTTTTAAATTTCCAAGACTCATACACCATAAGCTAAAGTATATTGCTGAAAGAAATTAAAGATCTAATTAAATGGAAAAACATATACTGTGTCGAAATATTTTTTATTAAATCTTTATTTTTATTGTTATATGTTGTAGTATATAATGATTACATTCCTAACAGGGAGAATCTTAACATATTAATTTTACCCAGAGTGATCTGTGGATTCATGCAATCTCAGTCAAAATCCCAACAGGATTTTTTATAGAAACTGTAAATTGACTCAGTGCAAACAACCTAAAAAAAACTATAACTACAAAGAAAATAAAAAGAAAGCTGAAAGGCCTACAGTACTCAATTTTAAGACCTATTATAAAGTTATAGTTATTAAAGCAGTATGATATTGATGGATGATAGACAAATAGATCAATGGAATAGAATGAAGTCCAAAACTAGACTCAATGCATATATAGTCATCTGGTTTTCAAAAAGATCAAAGTGTAAAAATGATAGACTTTACAAACAGTGGTTGAAGATCTGCTTAGTTTTCTATGACATCTATTCCAACTGTCACAATTTTATGGCTTAAAATAGCACAAAGTTTGTTATCTAAGTCACAGCACCAAAAAATTTTTTTAAAATTTGTATTGTCTTAAGAGTTATAGGTATAGGGGGCTGGGGATTTAGCTCAGCGGCATAAGCGCCTGCCTTGCAAGCAGGCAGTCGTGAGTTCGATCCCTGGTACCGATAAAAAGGAAAAAGACAAAAAAAAAAAAGAGTTATAGGTATAATCAAATTCTGAAAAGTCCAAAGTCCAAGCTCAGTTTCACTGGGTTAAAAATAAAGTGTAGCAGGGACATGTTCTTTTAGAAGGATGCAGGGGAGAATCCATTGCTTTGCTTTTATAGGCCACCTGCATTTTAAACTCATGACCCCTTTCTCCATCTACAAAACCAGCAACAAAGTCTCTCTCATGCTGTCATCCCTCTGATTCTCTCTTTGCCCACATTACTGGTGCTGGAGATTGAACCCACGGCCTTGTGCATGCCAAACATGTTCTCTCTGCAGCCCCAGAGCCTTCCTCACCCACTTTTAAGAGCCCTTCTGTTTACCTTGGACCAACCCAAATGAATCCAGGATAATCACCTATCTTCAGGTTAGGTGGTTACCAACATCAAGTCTGTCTATAACCTTACTTCCTAATTGCTATGTAACATAATATATCATGGGTTCGAAAGATTAGAACACAGATATTTTGGGGAGGAAAACCATTATTCTGCCTACCATCATAATGTCCCTATGCAACACCCCCAGGGGGAAAAAACCCAAATTAGATCCATACTGTACATCATATATAAACATTAACTCAAACTTGGTCCTAGACCTAGATATAAAACTCAACTCTACAAAATTTCTAAAAGACACAGAATAAAATCATTGTGACCTTAGGATAGGCAACAGTATTTTAGATGTAACCCAAAAACATAATCTTTAAAAGAAAAATAAATATTAAATTTGGCTTCATCAAAATTAAGAAATTCTGCTCTTTTCAGGAATCGTTGATAGAATGAAAAAACAGACCATGGACTAAGAGAAAATACTTGAAAATCACATATTTGGTGAAGAATTGTATCCAAAATATATTTAGAACTCTTAAACTTTTTATAATAAAACAATCCAATTTTTTAAATAAGGAAAAATATTTAAGGAAACACTTAATTTAGGAGACATATACACAGCAAATAAGCACTTGAGAAAATTTCATTGGAAAAATGCAAATTAGATCACAATAACTACCATCATCTATTAGGATAGGTAAAATTAAAATGACTGAACTTATGATATGTTGATGAGGATATGAAATTAAACTCTTCTGCACTTCTGTTAAGAATATATGACAGTGGGGCTGGGGATTTAGCTCAGCGGCATAAGTACCTGCCTTGCAAGCAGGCGGTCGTGAGTTCGATCCCCGGTACCGATAAAAAAAAAGAAAAAAGAAAAAAAAAAAAAAGAATATATGACAGGCCAACATTCTGGGAAGCTAAGATACATTTGATACTCCAAACTGAGGATCACAGATTTGAGCCCAACTGTGCAACTTAGCAACTTATACATAAATAAATAAGTAGACTGTAGATATAGCTCAGTATGAAAGCCCTGGGTTCAACACCCAGTATTAAAAAAAAAAAAATACAACTACCTCAGAAAACAGTTTGGCTGTTTCTTAGATAGTGTGCCTACCATGTGATCCAGCCATTCTACTAGTGGATTTGCCCAAGAGAAATAAAATATCCATGCAAAGACTTCTACGTAAACATTCACAAAAACTTCGTTTATAATAGCCAAAACCAGGAAGCAATCCAAAAATCTATCAGCAAGTGACTGGATGAACAAATTATGATATATGCATACAATATTATGCTACTCAGTATTTACATAAATCTCAAAATAATTAGTTGAATGATAGAAGTCAGACAAAAAGGAGTATATATTATTCCATTTTAACAAAATTCTAGGAAAGGCAAATAATCTACACCAACAGAAGCAGATCAGTGGTTGTCTAAAGAAGACCAAAATGGAAAACTGGGATGGGGTGCTGAAGAATGTGATTACAACAAAGAACACAGGAACTTCCAAAAGTCACAGGTATGTTCTTGACTGTGGTACTGTATGCTTAGGTCAAAACTGATCCAATGTGCTCTTTGAGTCCATGCAACTATGGACTCAAATGTCAATTAGACCTCAGTAAACATGTTTTTTAAAAAGTGTTTTTAAATGAGGAAAAGTTATATGTGCTTACAAGGAAACACCAGTTACCTTAAAAGAATTTTATGAGACTTTCATGGTCTGTAATACACATAATATTTAACTTTTAAAATTTTCATAGCATGACTTCTTTACAATGTGGAGGAGGTTGCTAGCCTGGAAAACTTTTTCCTATGGTCCATAAGAACGTCAGAGTGGTGGAAAGAAGAGAGATGTTCCCATACAAATCATTTTGACAGATGTCCCCTTCCCTCCCTTCTTGGAAGATTTGTGAAGAAAGGAGACGTTATGGCACAGTTTGGAGAAGTGTTTTAGGACGGTGGTATGCCCAGAAAACTAGCAGTGGGACCTAGGAGGAGATACTAAGCACCTTGCCTGGGATGTGACTAAGTCAATCAAAGTGAAAACTTGTGGAAGGCGACAAGAAGCAATAGGATGTGTTGATGGCCGGCGTACGGACTGGCGTAGGTGTGGGCAGGAAGGGGGAGTGGTAAGCAGGGGTCACACATGTCTTCCAGGCTTGACTAGGTAGCAGAGAGTAGTAGCATGACAAACAGGAATGCTAGAGCAGAAGGAAGGATGTGAAAGGGGTTTAGCAAGATATTATTTAATCTGGTCTCATCAACAAGAACGTTATCAACTAGAGAGTAAAGGAACCTGCCCAGAGCCACACAGCGGACACCAGGACGCAGGACTGCTGGGCCAGTTTCTCAGTAACACATTTCCTCGCCTATCTGAGGAGTCTGAAGTGATGATGGAAATCCTGGTGGCAATTTTCAGTGGAGAATTAGAACTGTCCGCACAAAGCCTGAGAGAGGACTTGAAAGTTGGAAATATAGATACAGGAGCTAGAAACTGGCTGAGCAAGCCACAGTAAATGTGATAAAAATGTCGCCTATCCATTTCCGTAACTTTCTCTTGGATGAATCATCTACTCAAATGTCTGGAACTCTATTCAGATCAAATCGGTGTCAACTGTACAGCAGATCCTTGATTTTATTCTTCCAGTTTCCCAGACTAGAACTTGAGACTTGTTGGGTTCCTGCCTCTTCTGTCGTCATACTTACACCAGTTTTCCTTCAAAAGGTTATCTGCTGCTTTAACACCATGCTAGTAAAGTTGTTAGATCTGTGGTTTTTCATTTTGTTCTGTTGCTATGTCATTCTCTAGGGGTCTTTGCATGTTGTCCCGGTTGGCCTTAAACTCACGTGCTCTAGCAGGGTTCTACCTCAACCTCTCAAGTAGCAGGGACTACAGGCACAGACTACCATACTCAGCTAGCTCTGGGACTCTAAATTTTTAGAGTAACTTGCCAACTTCCCCCATCCTTAAGCAAGGTGAGGAAATGAAATCAGTGATTGAAATGAAAAATAGGCCTGAGAGACACACACATCACAGGAGCATGTTATGGAGCTGGAGACCACACACAAGGGTTTCAGGAGGAGACATACTAAGGCTGCTAGCAGTGATACAGTCCTGTAATTCCAGCTATGTAAGATGCCAAAGCAGGAGGATCGTAAGTTCAAGTCGTACCTGAGCAACTTAGCAAGACTTGTCTCAAAATAAAAAAAATTCCTAAAAACTTTAAAGGGGATAGGAACGCAGCCCCCAGTGTTAGAGCAGCACATCCTGGCTTTGTTCCACATGTGTACACACACACACATGCATACACACACATGCACACACACACATGGATGTACTTGCACACATACAGAAGTGAGGACAGCGGAGATTGAGTCATGGGGCTAAGTAGCAGGTGATGAGCAACCTTCAGGAGAAAAGGAACAGGGAAGAAACCAATGGCACCAGGAATGGTGGCACAGCGCCTGCAAGCCCAGCTACTTAGGAGGCCGAGGTAGAGGATCACAAATTCAAGGCCAGTCTGGGCAGCTTAGTGAAATCCTGTTTCAAAAGAAAGAAAAAGGGCTAAAAATTCAGACACAAAGTTACTGCATTCAATCCCAAGGACCACCAAAAATTTTTTGAAAGCGTAAGAGTGTGTGTGTGGCAAGAGGCAAAGTGGAGCACAGAACAGACTGTAAGTGGAACAGGAGCCATTGTGAGGGAAGGGATGACAGCGGTGCAGTGGAGTCCTCTGCCCATGAGGTTCTGGCAATGAAGAGAGGAAATAAGACAGTAGCTAGACTGGATGGTCAGGTTTCCAAATCTTTGTTTTGTTTTTCAATATAGAGTTAGCTATGCATAATTTAAAATCTGGGATGGCAGGGAGAGTAGAAAGAAAAAAGGATAGAAATGTGTGAAGCTGGAGGACTCTCAGTGTCTCTAGACATTGAAGTGGGTGGCCTTTTCTGTTGCAGCAGGCAGCCAGCATCCAGAGCATGGTCTGCCTTGACTCTCGGAAGCTGGCAAAAGATAACTGGGCCTCGAATCTTGATTCCCAGCCCTCAGTCCCCACTGCACAGGAAATTTCTAACAGAAAGCTGTTTCCTCTGTCACACTATTTTCTGCTTAGCATGAGGATAGAAAGTAATCTGTCTTGTACTTTAACAATTCCAAGAGAATGCCAAAACATCCCCTGGTCTCTGCCCGTTTGATACATAGTTTTGAGAGCCCCAAAGTTCTCTCTGACCTCTACTCTTAATCTTTCCTGTTGCAGTGGAAACCCATTCCCTCTCATCCTGTCTTTTGAGGAAATGTGGTAACCAAAAACTGTGCCTCACTGAGAAAACTTGCAGGAGGTAAAGCAATATGGATTTCCTACAGATCCTGACCATGCAGGCTCCACACCCTTGTTCCCCGCCAGCCTTCAACTATCGGGAAGAGATGGGAACTCAAAAAGTAGAAAGAACATTCAAGCGTGCCACAGTTCCTACTGACCTTTGAAGAGAAAGTCCCTGTTAATCATATCAGAGACTTGTGTCCAAGGAAGCCAGAGGGAATTTCACAGTTAAAAAACTAAACCATATCTTACTATCTAAGAAGAGTTACACATACTAATGAGGTGGCCAGACACACAGCCCAGGCAGCCCAGGAGCCTCTCTGGCACCAAGTGGACCCAAGTAGCTTTCCTCTCTGTTCCCATCTCAAGGCTGGGAACATCTGCCAAGCATCCCCCAGGGATATGTGTTACAGTAAGAGGCGAGAGAGGATCAAAATGTGGAAAAGAGTGCAAGAAAAAGATTAGGATGAGAGGAACAGATAAAGTGGAAGACAGTGATGAAGACAGAGAGATAGGGAGGGAGGGAGGGAGGGAGAGAGAGAGAGAGACTGAGTCTACCTTTACTCTCATTTGTCCAGCAGTCCCAACTCTTCCTAGCTCTGGGCTTCTGTTCAAAGGCACGGGAATGGCATGTTGCCTAATCCCTCCTATTCTACCAAGCCTTCTTACTAATGGAACTGCACAGTGATTGGAGAGGGCAATGTGCTCACCTTCCCAGACTCTTTTGCAGCCACTTCTTGTCATTAGATGTGACACCACACACACACACACACACACACACACACACACACACACACAAATCTATAAAGATAGAGAAAAATTTTACTCTCGTAAGTCCCATCCCCACCCTCCTTTCTTTTTTTCTCTTTTGTCTCCTGTCCTTCCATCTTCTTCTCCTACCAACAAGCATGAAGCTTCAGGTAGAAGAGTCATCCTGTGAACATAAGGCAACAAAGTCACAAGCTGTAAATGATAAAAGAGAAGGAGAAAAGGAGACAGGGACATTGGTGACCGCTGAAGTTGATGCCTCAGCATGGACTTCTTGCATGAACACAACTTGTCTGATTCAGTTAAGGCCTTGCAGTCAGGTTGCTGTCGTGAGTAGCCTAATGCAACTACTACCGTATCTGTAATGTGTCTTCTACCCAGACAGTTACCTTTTTCCTACCACACAATCAACTTTTGAATCTTCACAGCCCACCTGAAATTCCACCTTTTTCAAAAAAGGCTTTCTATAATGTCTCAAAACCAATCTCCTTCAGAGTCATGTATCTTATACAATAAAAATTGTATCAGTAGCATATATGAATCAAATCTACTTCATGTCATAAATATTCATGCATGTTTTTCACAAGCCCCATAGTTTGAGAACTGCTAAAGGCAAAGGTTCTGTTTCACTCATTTTGAATGCTCTGCAGCATCCAGCACAAAGCTTGAGTTTCTTTGACTAGGAAAATGCTTTTCCCCTCTCAAGTGTATGTTACGGATCATAGTTAAACACCTGGCTTCTATAGATGATGATACGAGAACATTAACAATTAGAGAAACAATCATGTTTCAATTGTTTTAAAATTGAAATCTTTTGCTGACCAGGTGTCCAGATGTATCCAGTATGATCAAAAGAAGAGACAGAAAGAAGTACTGAAAGACTCAAACCAGACCTACATAACATCAAACCAATATGCTAGTATGCTTAGCTCAACTTCTAATCTGTATCTATTAGACAGTCTCATCTCTAGCAGTTAACCCAACATAACACATTATGATTCCCGCTACACATCTACTGAGGCCCCAGTAATTATAAATGTCTGGATCCTGGAACCGTATTTTTTGATGGGCAAAAATGTATTGGCCATCTATTATATACCAAGTCTAGAGTGAATAACCAACCATTCTAGGATGCTTGTAATTGAGGGACTTCCTGAGATGAGAATTTTTAGCACTAAAACAAAAAGATTCCCAGGAAAACCAGGATGACTGATGATCACCCGCTCCAAAAAAAATCCTTGTAAGCCTAGCACATGACTGTCCTCCCAGTGCTCTGGGAGGCTGAGAGAGAAAAATCACAAGTTTGAGTCCAGCCTTAGCAACTTAGCAATTTAGAGATAGACCATTAAAAAATAAAAAATGAAAAAGGCTAGGATGTAGTTCAATGTGAAGGTCCTACATGCAATTCCAAGTACTGTGAACAGTAAAAAGG